TTTGATATATAAATTTTCTTCTATCTGGGCTTCAGGCTTTATTGGGCTTAATGAAGGAATAAGCCTGACTTAGCTCTTTTAAATTGTCCGGAAATAAAATTTTTCTTCTGCCATGCTTTATGCTTCAATGGGCTTGGTGAAAGGTTTGACTCAAGTTATCATTGTTGACTTATCGGGGAGTGAGCGTATCTTCTATTTTAGCTTTCTCGTTTTGGCGGACTTGAAGAAGGCTGTTTTGATTTGTCTTCATCGGCTTTGCGGAAAAATTGGGAATTTCTTCAGGCCTAATTTTGTGATTTGATGGATTTGTTGAAGGATTTGAATTGAATTCTCTCTATTGGCTTGTTAGAAGGACAAATATCCCTTATATTTTATGCCTTTATTTTGACATACTTGATGAATGAAACATGCCGGTGACCTTAGTTCCAGAGGCTTGTGTTAGGTCGATGGTGAAGATTCGTCGGCCTAGCACTTGGTGCTTTGATGGATTCATTGACAACTAAATTTCTTTGGTTTAACCTCAGGTTTTGTATGAAAATTGGGATAACTTCTTCAAATCTGCACATTGCACTTTATTGGGCTTGGTGAAGAGGAGAGGTTCCTTCGGTCTCTGCCTTTTGCTTGGTCAGACCTATTAAAGGAAGATGGTCCTTCAGTTTTGTAGTGATGTTAAATTTGATTAGATGCCTCTATAAACGAGGATCATAAGTTTTAAATTTTCCTTGATATGTCAATAAATCGAAAACATCTTTCTTGGGCCAGTCACCTAACCTTATCAAGTTGGATGGCCTTGGGTAGAATAATTATTGTCATTAGATTGACAAAATTGGGTTCTTTCATTGCAACCTTAGCATTTCAAGTGAGGAGTGCAATTAGAGACTATCATGGGCTTGTTGAGTACGGACTTCAGAAGCTACTTTAGTCCTAGAATTGAGTTGTTGATAGACTTATTTTTTGATAATTGTTAAGCTGATGGAATGAGGTCTTTTATAACCTTAGTTTATTGAGTGAACAAAAGAAGTTGATAAATTTACCAGTCTGAGGCATTTGAGTTCCAGATTTAAGCAGAAGGAGGTTTGTGCTTTTTTGGTGTACTCGACTTACACTTATATATTTGGGAGATTTTCTCGCCTAACCTTGGAGATCTCGACCAACCTTGGAGAAGAACTCGTCTTCTAAAATGGTCTTTCATATTTCTTGCTTGAAATTTATTCTATTTCGGGTTAGTCAACCAAATATGTAGCTTTGGCATTAATTATTTGAACATTTATTTAAGGATTTTGGGCTGGAACACTGTCACCGGAGCATAATATATATTTTGTTTGATAAAGAGTATTCTTGGTATTTAATATTTGTAGGGATTTTGAAATTTGGCACAATGTTAACCCGAATACTTTTGGATCATAACATGAGCATGATGTCTACCAAAATGATAGTAAATTTTGAAGTTAGGCAACATGTCAATTATTGTGACTGAGAATCTTGGCTCTAAGCTTAATATCAACTCAAAAAAAGGGCCCCCCTTAACTGTCAAGGAGGGATTACAATATTTGGCTCTCTCAAGGATCTTAGTTTTGGGCACAACAAAATGGGTTAGAATCTTCGAATTATTGAGCAGTATGACAACCCAAATGTATTGAGGGATTTCGGTCTGAAGCACGATACCAACCCAAATATTTAGCTCATTGTCCGGTAAATAAATGATTCTAGCATTTTATAGACATATCTTGTGATCTTGACATTAAGTATGCCAATCCAAATAAAATAAGAAAATCCATCTGTCTTTTAAAGGAAATTCCAATGACAACTCGGTATTTTTGGCGATCTTGATTTGAAACAAGGTGTCAAGCCAAATAAATTAAAACAAACGCCCTTTGTCTCGAAGGGGAAGGTTTGTCATAATTTGGAAACACATTTAGATATCATAAAAGAGTTACTAGTGAACTATTGAACTCATGCTAGAATGGAGCATATGTTTTTTTTCTTAGAGAGAGCTTTGAGAGCAACTTTGTTTGGATTGTTGTGTAATGTTTTTTCAAAGATTGATCACTAATTGGTGATATCAACCGTTGAGTTTTTAACTTAGAGACAGTAGTATGAGATGGTTTGATCATATTAAACGTCGACAATTTGATAATCTGATTAGGAGAGTAGGTGTTTTAGATTTTACTTATGTTAAGAAAGACAAAGGTAGACCTAGAAAGAGTTGGGCATATTGTATAAAAAATGATCTTAATTTATTAGAATTAAATGAAAATATGACACTCAATAGGATGCAATGGAGAAAAATGATTTATGCAGCTAAACCCACTTAGTGGGATAAAGGCTTGTTGTTGTTGTTACTAATGTTGTAATTAATATGCTCTGCATACAAAAATTTTTAAAAACTCTATAAGAAGAAATTATTAGTCTTCTCAGCACTAGAATCAATCCTTTAACTTGGAATATTCAGAGTTTCTTTGGTTGACTTCGAGAAATAAGTTCTGATAGAATGTAAAGAATTGTAAATACTTGGATTTGACTATCCCTCCACTTTTGGATTTTAAAAATCTCCTTAATTCGTTGTTCTCGATTTACTAAGGAATAAGGAACCCAAGTCATACCTTGCTATTTAATAATTTGATAACCCCTCCACTAGTTGGGTTGAAGTTTATTGTGGATAGGATCTCTTAACAAACTATCAAGGTCAACCATCATTGGAGATTCATCAACGAGCTTCTTTGAAATTTATCTTTGAATGATCTTGTTGATGATGAATATCTGAGAGAACAAACCAGATATTGCACCTTTTATTTTTTTAACAAAACCTTCTTCCCGAGACTTCGGCCTCTAGATTTGTTCTCCTTTCCATTAGGTCCTTTTGATGACTAATTCTTGAACACAGTTCAAGTGTCATGCTCCCATGTTCATGATGTGGAACTACTTGTTTGAGTTGGTTTTGGGCTACTATAGCATATGACAAGTTGATTAATTTTCATTTGTTTAAGTGGCAACATGTTTTTCATTTATTCTCTTCATTAGGCCCCAATTTTGGCAATTTTAAGGACGCTATGCTCTCCTACTAACAGTTTCATAACCCCAAAATAAATGTTGGGGTTTCAAGAAGGGGGAACAAGAAAGGGAGAGGCATGCATGTTTTATTATTATTATTATTATTATTATTTTGATGTGGAAGATATGGGCTGCACTTGTATTCATGGGTCGACAGATATCTACGAGGGTGTGGTTGTTTGCATTGAATCGAAATGTTGAGATCTTAATAATGTGGTGTATATATATTAAAATGATAGACGACAACATGTACTTGTCCAACTCATATGTGCTAATTCGACTCATATGGATTCAAACCTGGTACAGAGGGGACTTAATGCCAAAACTGTCAACCAACAGACCACTGGTTGCACACAATAATGTTATATATACACATTGATTTTCCTTTCTCTCATATTTGGTGCATTTCATACTTCTTATCATCGCCTTGATCTTTGTGGCGACATCTTGTGTGGGACCAAATAAATTGGTTGTCCAACCTAATTGGATTTGATATTTTAAATGCCAACCCGCACTCCGTTTCGTGAACAAAGGTCATCCGAGTGATGTTGATAGTAATTTGGGCGCAATTCATTTTCTCATGGTTTAATCCCCAACATTTTAATTATGCTTATTTCAATCATAAAATATCCTTTCTAGGTAATTTTGACGCTCTAAATGCCTCTACAAGTTCATTTAATGACGAGCATTATTGAATGGGCAATGTTCCAAGTGACTTCAAGCATGAACAAATTATTTTGAATTCGGTTTGCAGAACATTGATTCGATGAGCAGTGAATATTTTTTTGTTAATATAAAAATGCCTTGGAGTATTATATTGTAAGAGGGAATGATAATGATTAATTTAATACAATTGCAATTAATTTGGGGTGTGTTGTATGCATTTGAGTGTTGCAAGGCTAAAAAGGAAAAAAAAAAGTTCTATTAAAGTCGAGCATAATTGAAATGAGATTAAGATGAATGTGTGGGAAAATTATGGAGGAAGTTGAGGAAATGATTACATCAAAACCTTTGTGTGAGTAGCATATTATGAAGATAAATTAATTGAAATTTAATTCAATTGTTTAAACATAAGCAATAAATGATAGGAAATGAATCCATTAGATGTGTAATTTTTATAAGAAAAAAGGGACCGATCTAGAGAGTAATATGGATAAAAATTATTTTAATAGATTTGTACATAATATATGTCTAAAACCTCGTTCAACAAATAATATAGAGAGATTTTTATAAAATTGATCACAAATAACTAAGAAAATGCCAATGTGGACAATGAATCGTGTGGGCCTTTTCTTGGTGTCATTTAAACGAGTTTTTCTTTAAAGTGACCTTCTACATTGAACTCTTAATAATAGAGGAAAATGAGCCGAGATCGCTCCTTCATTGCACGCCACAGATTAGCGTTTTTTTTTATGCCGCATTAATTAACTTTTCTTTTGTTTTGTTGTATTACTTGTGTTGAATCAATTGTGTTAATATTGTATAAAAAATGATCTTAATTTATTAGAATTAAATGAAAATATGACACTCAATAGAACACAATGGAGAAAAATGATTCATGTAGCCGGCCCCACTTAATGGGATAAAAGCTTATTGTTGTTGTTGTAATGAATCGTGGTAATATGCTTATATGACATCTAGCTTTCTGAGTTTCTTGTTTTGTGCTTTACCTTTGTTATTTGTTTGGAAGATTCACATACATACCACTCAATTCCTATATATTTACATATCTGACACCTAAACTTTAATTTTTACCGACTTTCCTTTGCATGAAAAGGTGCATCTCTTTTTAACAGTTAAAATGATAATATTTTTTGACATAAAAAATTAGGTGGTAAATGTAAAATTATGGTGTTAGATATGCAAATACATAGGAATTGGGTGGCATGAATGTAAATGCCCCTACTTGTTCTGTTGAAATGATTTTTCGATCTTATTCTTGGATGCAGGACCTGAAGTGTTTTGTGTTTTCCCTTATATCCCTCCACTTCAAGATCAAGCCAATTCAATCTTGAGTCTTCCTTTATTTGATAATCATACATACACCACTAAAATTTATGAGGTTTGCTGTAGTTTATCTTGAAGATGATGCGCTGGGATGAGTTTTAGCAAGCTTTATTTATATCTTGTCCAGGAATGTTTACAGTGACTGCTGCTTCTGGTCAATATTTGTTGTTGGATCTAAACTGTTTTAACTATGCAATTAAAGATAGGTTTAAAATTTATTAGATTTGTTTTCAGTATAATATAATTTATGTGCATTGTTACGATTAAAATTCTACTAATCTTGCAGCTATAATGAATGTAATTATGGTCACATAAAATTGTAAATACTTGTGTGTTGTTTGCATTCTTTTCTATCTATTTTTATTTATTAATATACAAAAATTTTTTGAACTGTTAAGTTGGACATTATGGCAATTTGATATAATCTTTAGCTTATATTTAGCATAAAAGAAATTTACATATGCAGCACACAATTCATATGTATTTGCATCTCCCACCAAAGTTTTAATATTTTGCATGAAAAATGTGCATTTCACTTTTAGGTGATAATAATATTATTTTTATGTGATATTAAAGATTTAAGTGCTATGAATAAACATGAATGTTTATGTTTGAGATATATAAATACATAAGAATTGTTTGTTATGTATGTACATGCTCTATATTGAAAGACTTGCATACATACCACTCAGTTCATATGTATTTACATAGCTAAAATCTAAAGTTTGATTTTCTATCATGATGTCATTTTACCCATGCATGGAAGGTGTATTATTTTTGAGAAGTTAAAGTAGTGGTTTTTATAATGTGATGTGAAAGATTTTGGTAGTATAAATATATAAAAAATATAGTTTAGTATTTGATATGTATGTATGTAGAAAGTTGGTGTTATGTATGTAAATGCCACTTCAATATTTAGCCATGATTTTTATCTGTAATTAAAATTACTCATCATTTATGTACTCTCATAAATATGGAAGGTAAGTTATATTATTAGAGCCATAAGTGGCAAAGAAGACCTTAAAGTTGAATAAAGTTATGTCCTTGGATAGAATTTAAATTTAACTTGGCTCAAGTTACATTATTGAGCATTGTGTTGGCACAATTTGATGAAGTATTTAGGAGCCAAAATTTTCAACATCGGGGCATCTGTTTTCATTTCTTTTGACAGCAGTGGTTGTTTAGGTGTTGGTCTATGTGTTCGGGGCGGCGGTGCAGTGTCACATTGTAGTTTTTTTTTTGTTTGTCCCTTGCGTCTTCAAAAACTTACAGTTAAATGCAATGTTTTGTCATCAGATTTAACTATTTGCGGTTGCTGTCAAAAAGTTACGGTCTGACCTTTTAAAGAAAAATTTTTATTGTAATAGTCACCGTAATTTTTTGAATAACAGCTTCGTTTCAGCAACTTCACAACTAATACTTCAAAGAGTTGCGATTGACCCAAATGAATCCTTAGTATTAAGCTATATATCCCCGAAGAAAGATGTTAGGCGCTCAATAAGTGATTAGGTACACAATTATACTGACACGACAACGCCCAAGCATGATCCTATGGGAGTTGGAAGCAATTTTTTAAATAATAGAGAAGATACATGCAGTTAGAGGTTCGGGAAGAATTTCAAAAAAGCAAAATTTTGTGTGGATGATATACTATTAGAGAGGGATAAGAGAGAAATTAAACAAAATGGAGAGAATTGTATACAAATCATATTTTTCCTACCTTTTTGTTGTTCTACTCCATTTGTATTCATAAATTATATTATTTATATTGATTATTTTTGACAAACTATCAATAACTAATTGCATTTTTAGGTTTATAGTGCAATGAAGATACCTTCTTAAATGAATACTTTATTTCTTATGTTCTAATGTGATATTATTTGATTTGCTTTGTGGTTCATTGAGTTATGTGAGTAGCCTTCGTTGAACATTAAATCTTACATAACATCTAAGCATCTAGCATGGGCTATTTAGAGCATTACACAAAGGTAGATCAATATATTTCTATATGAGCTATGGATATACTCGAGAAGAGGTTATAATTATTTAAGAATAAAGTTTAACAAAGTTATTTATAGGAATATATTGAATTAGTTAAATGAATTATGCTTTCTGACCATTAGAAGAAACTCAAATATACATATATTCTTGATTGACAATCTAAATTATTCATTAATCGAATCAAAATTTCACGTTGAAGTAGAATATTTTGGTGAACCCATAAATGTAGATTTCCCCCCAATTAAATTAAGATAGTATTAAAGCTTTAATGTTTGCCTCAATCCATTAAATAAATTCAATGACAATATAAACCTTCATTTAAGTTTTGAAAATTAAGTTTATTATTATTATTATTAAACACTTTCATTTACATATCGTGATGAAAAAAACTTCTAATTTATGATAATGAAATTGGATTGAGATGTATAATATATACTTTGCCCGTTAAAGAAGTAAGTGATCAAAGAAAATTTTAAATATGTTAGATATATAAAGTCATGAATTGAAACACACATGTAATTTAAATGTTATAACCAAATGCCAATGACAAACTCAAATATGGCTTATTAGATATATGATGAAAGAAAAATTTGTGTTTGATTCTAATTTAAAGCTAAAGATGTTCATACCATATATGAAAAGGAATTATAACATTAACTTGTCTTATAAAAAGTTTAGATGGATCATGAGAGAGCTAAGTAAAATGAAACATATTTATGTCATACAACAAATTTATTTGTATTTGAGAGTTCAAGAGTGTATGTTGTCCGCTGTCAACCGTAAATGAAATATTTTTTGGTACATAATCTAGAAAAGGTGCAAATACTCATAATTTTTATTCTCATTTATAGCGATTTAACTCAAAAAATAATGAGTCATATTTATTTTTCAAGCCCAGGCTAAGATGCAAATTGCATACTAAAAATTTGGTTTTTGTATTTGATATACATTATTTCATGTACTTCTTCTTTTTTTCACATGCATATCATTGAGTTTATACTCATAATAGGGCAATAAATATCATAATAAAACTCAAAATTAATCGTGATGAATTCAAATTTATCATGTAGATCATGCTCAAGGCATAGAGCGTAGGGAGCGATGGAGAGGAAAAAAGAGACAGAGAGACACACACAGTGATTGCCCCCTCCTCAGGCTCTTGAACCTATTTATATATTGAAAGAAGTTATTATGAGAGAAGGGCTGGAAAGCCAAAATAGCCTCCTCCCCTTTACTTAAAAAAATCTTCCTATTTATATATCATAGGGTGTATTTAGAAAATTATATAATTTCCTCTGGGAGTTACAAATTATTATGCCCCTGGGAGTTATTGGTAATTGTAATCCTTGGGACTTCTCAATTATTATTATCTTTGGAAGTTGTTATTATTGTCTTCATTGACACTTTTTTGTATATTTTCCACTCTTTCATATGTTTGACCCTGTTTTTGTTGCTTGGTCCATCCAACATAGTGGTCAGTTGGTCAGCTAGGTTGGCAATCGATCTCTGCTACAGTCGACATTTTTTCGGACATACATAAATGCCCCCAAGTCGCTTACTTCTTAGAAGTGAAGCATCAATAAGAATGTGACTTTAAATGTCAAAAATGCAAATGCAAAGATCACACTCCCTTGATTTGAGCATCTCTTAGCGCCCTGTTTCTCCAGCCCCGAAGTGCTCTCTTGAGGCAATTTCACATCAATTTTTTATTTGCATTGTCAGTCATCTATCTGAGCTGCGGCTGGTTGAGGTGACCTTTGGTCGGTCTTATTGGCTTCATTTATCACTTAGTTAATAGTGTTATCTTATTCCTTTTGTTTTCAAGAAAAATGCATAAAAAATTTTGTAACCTTCGCGAATATGCAAGTAGAGTGAGGGCTTTCAATGTTTTTCTCCTTCATTTTAGCATTTTAGCTCTATCGGACAATTTGCTTGTGATAGTTGCTCAGTGATAAATGTTGTTGTTATTTGATTTTCTACCTCGAAGGGGAGTCTTTCATTTGCTCGCCCAGAAAGGGACTCATTGATTTGCTCACCTCGGAGGGGAGTCTTGGATTTGTTTGCCCCAAAGAGAAATCTTTGATTAATTCTGTCAGTTTGAATTTTGCAAGTGTCAGCTCAGATGCACACCTGTGAACTCGTCTCTGTGGGACCTAAAAAACATAATTAGGAGAATTTATATACAGATGTTTTTAGAAGAAAAAAAAAAGATAAAATATCATTGTTGGATATTTCAATCACTCAAAATTTTCAATCATTTGGATATTTCGATCTCTCGAGTACTTCAGTCAATCAGAGACAGGTGATAAGTCGAAAGCAGGTGGTCGGCCTGGTGAAATTGGATCAGTGGTCTGCCATAGGTAATTATCGGCTGGAGGGTGGCTTGTTGGAAAACAAATTGAGTGGTTTTTATGTAAATACATAAATATAAGAATAAGGTGGTATGTATGTAAATATTCCCTAATTTTAAGGTGGTCGGCCATAGGTAGCTGATCAATCAGAAGCAAGTGGTCGGCCGAAGGTAGCCGGAGCGTCGATCGGTCAAAGGGTGGCTTGCTAGAAGTACAAATGAATTGAGTGGTATTTATGTAAATACATAAAGATCATAATAGAGTGGTATATATGTGAATCTTTCTTAATTGCGAGATGGTCGATTGAACAATCGGTCGAAGGTGGGTGATCGACCATAAGTAGGTAGTCGGCTGAAGGCTGTCAAAACATTAGTCGATAGGAGGGTGGCTTGCTGGAGGAATAAATGAATTGTGTGGTATTTATGTAAATCTTCCTTGATTTTAAGGCAAATGATCGACCATAAACAAGGGGTCACTTGGAGGCGGCAGGAGAATCGGTCGACCGAAGGGTGGCTTAAAATATATTGAGCGATATTTATGTAAATCTTCCCTGATTTTGAAATGGCATGTCGGAGGCAGGGTACCCGCCAAAGAAGTTGGTCGACCGGAGGCAGCTAGAGTAGCGGTCGGTCGAAGGTTGGCTTGCACGGTAAGTCCACTGCACCATTCTATCACTTGTCAAAGCCTCTACTACAGTGTAGTAAGAATAAAGAGTTTCATCTCTTACCTAGTTTGAGGTTCAAAGATGAATTTAGCACTCTCAATCTATATAAACTGCATGTTAATTAGAGAGGTTACAATTGTTTCCTCCATTTTTGTAGCTAGAGACAAGTAGGCAACTAATAAAAGCTGAAGTAGCCATCTATTGGATTGTGGCATATGGTGAACAGATAGGAAGTG